AGAGAGAGAGAGAGAGAGAATGGTGAGGTGGAATGTTAGACAGAAATGAAGGTATGGAAGGAATTCGATAGACAGAGAGAGAATGCCATGATACGCATATAACTTTGATATTGTTTGGGAGATGTATGTAATTCATTTACAAATGTATTAAGCTTCGGGAAAATATTATTTGTTTGTGTTTTGAATAAGTAATTAGAGATCAAAAATTAACAAAAATTATTACTATGTATTAATTAAATAATAAATTTTTTGCAATTTACTTCATCGTCTAGCTCATGAAGAAAATAAATAAGTATTAACGATGACAGCACATAACAATTTCAACAAAAATGTAAAAATATTAGATAAGAGCGCTGTAAACTCTTTTCAATTTTTCATTGTTTACTATTCAAAACAAAGAATATACTTTCTTGGTCCAATTTCAAAATTTCAAATTTCGAAATTTTTCATTCAAAGTTAATTCATTAGCGTAATTTAATTTCATAAATATAATCAATGTATACATATAATTATAGTGTCAAATATTATTTGTTTTTATATGTTACCACTAAGGAATACATAAAATACACCTATTTAAACAAACTTTTTATTCTTACTTACAATAACGCTAGTCAAAAAATGAAATTATCCATTTTTAGAATTCTATATATTTTTGTACTATGCAATTTTTCAAACGACTATTATTTATCACTACAGAAATTGAATAATGAAAACAACCAAATCATATCCTGAAATAAAATAATGAAATAAATTCATGGATCTAATGTAATATCTATTATATGTGTGTTATTATTGTTATAAATGATAATGATATAGATAGAAAAGTAATAACATAGAAATGTAATTTGTTTGTAACGAACAAACAAATTACAATCAAAGAATAAATTTCCGTAACTACCATATTTATTAGGTTCAACATCACTTGTTTGTTATTTTGTCTCTGTAAAATCAAAATAATATTTTTATCTTTCAATTGTAATAAAAGAATTGATTTACTTCCTAGGTATATTTTTCCTTAATTGACTATTCAGAAGAGTATTATTCTACGATAACACTCAATAAAAATATCAAACTATAACGTAAATGTTGAATCGCGAAAAAGATCTTTACAAAAAATTTACGTTTGCAAAAATACATATATTATGTATTATCACATATTCTTTATAATAGCTCTATGTAATAAGTATTGTAATGTTGTGTAATTTGAGTACAGTAGTTTTTAAACTTTTTTTAAAAAATACAACAATTTTTTTTTATCAAGCGATGGCATTACAAGAGCTTAAAAAAGGACATAAATATACATATTTCTTACAAATACAAAATGAAAGAATCAAACATTTATTATCCAAAATGCATTTACAACTGATCAGTCAGATCTGACCTGGTCAGATGATGCAGGTACCTTAAATTTTATGATCGTGACAGAAACATCGAAACTGCAAACCTAAACACACGAAAACGGAGCGAAAGATATATACATAGCTCATAGAGCTCATAAACGAAATTTTCAAAGACAACATCAGGTCTGATATCTAACAAGTTTATTCCACTCGGTTGCTATGACAAAAACTGTAAGTGGAAATCTCTATTTCCGCTGTCATCAACTCGCCGCAATCTCCTCAGCCGCAAGCAGAACTTGTATTCTCTAACATTCCAGATAATATAAAGGAAGCTTTTGTCGTGCGATCTGTCTAAAGGTTGTGTAGTATAACTAATACAAAAAAAACAATTAAAACGAACTGTTTACTTTGAAAAAGAAACGATTATTCTTTACATCGATATATAGACGATTCAAATAATTATTTTTTTCAATTGAATATGAAAATCATCATGTTTGTGTATTTTATATAATGTCTAAAATATCTTTTATATACGACACTACGTAAGTTAATTAAAACTATTTTAACACAGATATAAATATTTCTATTTTCTGAAAGTTACCTCGGCTTCTGGCGATTGCACTATCAAGGACGTCCGTGGTGGTTTCTCCGGCGGAATTTTCTTCAGTGTACCAGTGAAAGAGCTTGCAGGTAGACCAGCATTTGTCCCCGAAGCACTCTCGTGACTCTCGATCTGGCACTGAAGTCGGTGAAACTGGGAAAACGAAGTACGCGACGCGTCGGCGCGATCGAATTGCGGAAGGCATGGTAACGGCATTTGCGACATGTTCGGTATCTGAATGGAATTCGGATCGGAAATGTCGTGTTGCACGCGAGACGTCAGTTTCTCGCACACTGACGATTGGCAGGCTTGAAGTGTCGTGTTCTGTGGATACGTAGTTAGAAGCGTCTGATGAAGGCTATGTACCGATTGATGAGCCGAACAAGATTTCTCCGATGATTGTTCTTGATGATTCGGAAGAGCGCTCGCTTGATGAGTATCGCTCGTTAACGGAAGTTGCGCAAAATCGCTGGATATCTTATGAGTCTTATCGTTTAATTGACTTTGATTCTGCAAACTTTGCAATCGAGCTTGGAGGTCGCTCTGTTGATGTTGAAACTGTGCCACTTTGTCCAGAATCTGGTTCTGGTTCTGAAGACATTGCAACTTAGCTTGGAGGTCGCTTTGCTGACGTTCAAATTGGCTTAGCTTTTCGGAGATTAAGTCCAAACTTTGTTGATTCTGTATTTGTTGTTGTTGGGTGTGAAGAGAATCAGTTTTCTCACTCTGATTATCCAATATATTCTGTAAGCTTTCCGTCTGGCTTTTGCTATGAGTGAGTAAATTAGATGAGATATTCTGACTTTTACGATGACTATGGATTATGTGATCGATCTGCTCAATTGGTTTACTAGTAGTAGTCGTTTCGCCAAAATCAGTTACCACAGTCAATACAGTCTTCGTGTCCAACTTTGCTTCACTGAGAGCTGGATACTGATGACAAAGATTCGGACTAGCTCTCTGAGACGAAGCAGTACTAACTATCGAGCCGAGATTCACTACAGAACCTGTAATAGGTTGCTCATCGAAATCCTTTCTCGAGAGTTCCATGTGCTTTGTCAGGTCGGCACTAACGTGTCTCAAATGTCGACGTTGCTCCATTATAGTACTCTGACTAATATTAGGAAGAGGTTGAAATGCCGACTGAGACATTCTGGATTCTTTACGATCATCTGGCGGATGAATCGATCTGATATCTCTTCTCTCCTCCGACGGATTACGGGAACGGGGACTTGTCGTAAATACCGGACCTTGCATCATGCTCCTTTCGTGTTCTTGCCGTTGACGTTGCTCTGCCCAGATCGCTAGCTCCTGTCTAGTCTTTTCAAAGTTTTGGTTAACGAAAGAAGGACTTTTTTGCCCGGCTCGATCAACAGATGTTTCGCGAATTGGCATAAATGGCATAGGCGATCTTCTTACATCCTCTATTCTCTTGCTTTCTAAATTCATGGGTGATCTTCTATGTTCCTCAAAATAATCTGAGCGTCTATTCTCTGGAGGGATGACATTCCTTTGATTCGGACTCACATTACCCCATTCAGGTTTTCTATCGGTCCCTATGCTTTTTCTATTTTCTTGTCTTGTGTCAAATGCCATTGGCGATACACGTAGATTTGCATCCAATCTTCTTTGCTCGGCAGGAAACATCTGATTAGTCTCGATTCTCTTTGCGTCAACTACAGTTGTAGTTTTTCTTCCAGATATAATTTCTTGATTGCCATCACCAGGAAACGTAAAAGTTATTGTGTCGTTACGTCTTTGGAAGCTGGTAGTCACATCAACAGATATAGATTTCCTATGTTCTGATCTGGATACATACAAACCACACTCGGTGGCAATTGTATCGACTAGTTTGTCTCTGCTTGACTGATCACTATTCGTATCCACATACAAACCATCCTGCCTCGTTCTAGGATTTTGATTAATCGTTGTTAAAAATCTTCTATCCGAACCATCTGGACCGATTGGCGCGCCCGTCATAATAATGGCACCCTCGCTACGATGAATCGAATCTTGTTGAACAGCTGGATTTGCCTCATATTTTGCTTTTTGCAATGCCGGCACATCGACGCTGGCGGATTTTCTATGTCCAGGATCATGGGTAGTGATCTTGGAATTGCCACGAGGTGGTACCATCGGTTTTGGTCCTCGACAGGGCCGCTCCGTCGTCTGAATAGCAATCCCATGCGTTACATTCTGCGCGATCGGTTGAATTATCGGTTGTGTCTGGTATTGACCAATCTCTTGTGAAAATCTCTGCGGATTTGGCGATTGTTGTCCGGAGTATTGCTGAGTCGAATAAATACCGGCGTGCGGATTATACGGTACGGCGTTCATTACCGTTTGTGGATACTGACTATAAGGATATTGCGGCTGAGTACCGAATTGAGCGTAACTATTTGATGGCTGTGGTACGACTACACCCGAATAATAAGGTGGCTGCGGACTAGCAGATTGTGAGGGTATTTGTGAGCCATGTTGAACCGTTACGTATTGACCTTGTCCGGTAAATATCGGATTGGTAGCACCACTTTGACCGTAAAGATTTGGATCTCGATAGGTGACGTCTCTTGTTACATAACCAGCTCTATCGGAATATTGTGTTTGCGGGTAGATTTGTGATCTGACTTCGAATTGTCCCCGTATCTGTGGGTATTGATTTTGATCGTAATCAGGTGCAAATTGTGGTTGCACTTGTACCGGTACTGTTTGAGTACTGGTCTGAGACACATGCTGAACTCTATCGGAGTTGTTTTTATCTGGATTATATTGCGGGGGTGGTAATTGACCCATTGAGGGATGTTTGTCTTCTGGCAATCCTACAGACTGCCTTCTTCCTGGCGGATACTGAGCGATGGGATGAGCAAGTTGTTGTTGTTGTTGTTGTTGTTGTTGTTGTTGTTGTTGTTGCTGCTGCTGCTGTTGTAACTGAGGCTGCTGTTGCTGATGTTGATGCTGATGCTGTGAAAGAGATTGCGATTGCTGATCCTGAACAGTAACTGAAGTATGCTGTGTCCTTTCTTGGGTAAATCTCTCATAATCCATCGTTCGATTTTCGAAACCGTTAGAAAGGTCTTGCCTCGTAGTATCAGCGAGTGGTTCAGCGCGACCGTTCTGGCAAGTTGTTTGTTGACTGTCCGTTGTTTGTCCAGCTTGATTTTGTTCTTGAGCTTCGCTCAGTCCACCCGACCCGGATTGCGACATGTTGGTGGCCCCCACCGACGGTCGTCCGCCGATGTAGCCAAGGATTCGCCCCAATCCGCACACCGTGACGACTTAGCGAGTGACGTTGTCGAAAAGATTTAAATGATAGCTTGGACACTAGTACTATACTTTTTGAGCTTTTTTATCCACGCTAGGTCAAGTCGAGGCATGTAAATGTTAATTTTGCTTCTGATATTTTTGATCTTCTGAGAAATCTCTATATTTCTAGATAAATTCTGAATTCTTTTTTTTTTTTGGTCTTTAAGATATTAGTTACAAATTTATTCGTTTGTCACTAGATGAAGAGAGAGTTAGTTATCAATTCTTTAAAAGTTATATATTCCGATTTATTTTGTCTCATAAAATAATAATTATGAAGCTATAACATCTATTTATATATGATGATATTTAATGAATAGCACAATAAGAAATAATCGACAATAAAAAAAAATCGTCAAACCTATTAATATATTTTGTTGCAGATTTGCTCGCTTTGTCTTTTTACAAACGTGATTGTTAAAGTGTTAAAGTGTTTCTTTTTTTTTTTATTTCTTCACCCACTTTCTCTCGTAAACACTTTGGTGCTTTAAACGATATCGTTACATATAAGAGTTATCCTCTTCTCTTCGATTTATTCGTTATAAGAGTACTTTTCAAGATGGCAGTCTAAAACAGCTCGTTCTTTTAATAGTAACGGCCTTTACCTTTTCCCGAGGTTTAAGACATCATATATGTGAGCTTCCGTTTTTATATTTGTGCGATATATTTGTAATATGTTTATAAATGTAGATTTTTGATTATCTTGATATTGATTGAAAACACTATGGTTAAATGTAAATTCTTCCAAACGTTATATATGATGGTAATCTGATTTTGATTTTTTATCCATATTCCTTTATACATCTTTTGATTAAACTATCTTGATTTTCTCACAAACTTTCTAGAAACCTTTTTGCTTTTTATTTTTATTTGTTGGCGACCTCGATCATAGTTAGCCGTTATCTTGGAGAGGAAAAGGAAAATGACTCGATCCTATCAACTTCACGAGAACATTGTCTCATTAACGTGTCCGTTGTCTCTAATAATAAAGTTTGCATGTCTTTCCAGTTTCCGCATATTTTTGCACAAACTTTGTATCCAACCCAATTTATCTGAAAATATACAATTTCAAAATGCATCGGAGATCTTTCAATGCATCTCAGTCGTGAATTTTCGCCCTCGATAATAAATATCATAATCAAAATTTTCCTGTTTTAAAATGTATTATATTTTTGCTAATTTTAATTATCACGTAAAAAGGAGAGTAATATTTTTCTTCTTTTAACGGCATTATTAATTAAAAATTTTCCAAACTTCTTTCAATATTCTTCAGAATATAAATTTATTAAAAAATACATTGTTTAGTTATTAATTAGAGCTTTTATTTAGATTTCCTACTTCATTTATATTTTATCATTAATCGAAGCTTTAACCAAAAATCTATACTTAAAAATTGATATATAGAAGAATTAATTATGTCAGTTATTGTATTTTATGATTTATTTTGCTTCGAAAAAAGCAGAAAATTGTTTTCTCGATTTCCCAAGCGCCTCGTAATCATCGTATTTTCTACGAACATAGCCATCTTTCACTGCCAGAAAGTTAGTTCTCAGGAAATGGCGGCGATGAAAAGTTCTCATCGGCTTGCAACTAACCGATAAAATATTAGTAACAGTAAAGTGCTGAAAATTTCTCTCCCCTCATCAGCTTATATTAAATAATCAACAATGTTAAACAACTTATGCTTTAAATTTAACACTAAAGTTATTTTTTAGAAATAGAGTAAGATGAGTGAAATAGAGTAAGAGTGAGATGATTATTTTGTTTTTATGTCGCATCTTTCTATTTTCAATTCAAATATTAGAAAACAATTAGAATAATATAGCTTAACTATCTTTTTATTTTTAAACAACACAATACTTTTTTATTGCCGTTTAAGATATTAATATGATAAGAATTGTTGAAAGAAATTTACATCTTAATAAGAATAATAGATTGTATATTATATATTTTTCAATCGAATATAAAAATATTAATTATGCAAATGCATATTTATATAAAACTTTTTTATTTCATAAACAATCTGATATAAATCTTGCATAACAAATGACAAATATTATAAATTTGATTATGTGATATATATACATATTCAAAATTTTTAAATTGATGAATTTGAATGAGCTTGTCTATACAAATATATACTTTGTGAGTTGGATGATTTGCTTGAGAATAATGTTTATCTCATGTTGATTATATGTTAGATGATTTCGAATTACCTTAGAAACTCCGTTTTCGCTAGTTATTCGCTCATAATACCAATCGCAGATTTTCGATTATGACTCGAGTTACAACATCAATATGTATTGTCACCAATTGCAATTCGTATTAATCACGTTGTGATTAACATATATATATCTACATAAGATTTTATAACTCATATTGACAATAATAGTTCCTTGATTTGTGCAAACTAAGATAGTAATACATTTTTTGTTACAGTTGATATGAATTATAACATTTTATATAATTTTACTTCAAATTATATAAAAGAAAATGATTTCATAGATTTACTATTTTCATTATTTATTAATAAATTATTTATAGATTTATTATTTTATTCACTTATTTTTTATAAAGTGTGGCATTGTATGTTAAACATAATTATTAAAATAAATAACATAATTCTAATTATTATATTTCAATAAAGTTCCTATTTTTTATTTTTTATTTATTTTATTACATTTTTTTCTACATAATAGGATACTAATTTAACTCATAAATAACTCATAAATAAATGTTGAACAAATAATCTGTATTTTAATCGCGGAATCCTATAATGAAAGTTTTATAAGGTTTACATATGCGTTTTACATGCGAAAATGTATGAGTTAAAAACTTTTCACATGCTTGTTCCGCAAAAAACGACAAATACGCAGCGTACCCTTTGGTATGCTGTGTAGTTGTCATTTTTTTTCGTAATAATTGAAATTATACATTGCTGTTTATTTATTAAAGAAAGTTATCATAACATTCTACCTAAGCGAATTTGAAAATATGTACGCGCGAAAATTGCAATACGGATTTTCTATCCCAGAGGAATGGTTAATGTTGCATAGATCATTTACCAGATTCAAATGAACTAAGATTAATGGACAAACTCCAAAACTAACTTTGTGTTCAAATCGAATTGTCAAATCAGGTTGACGATTGATGCATTCGGGAAAATACAGACGATCGACCTACTCGAAGCTATTTCCGAATTATTCAGTAAATCTATAAATTCAACTTAATGATTTTTTATATTAAAATAATATTAATTTTTTAAAGACGTGTACTGCAGATTTGTGTGTGTGTGTGTGTGTGTGTGTGTGTGTGTGTGTATTTTTTCTTTATTATAATATATATATATATATACATAAACTAAAATAGAAAATGTACTATTGTGTATGTTTGTATATATGTATATGTGTCAGTTAAATTATGTTTCAATTTATTTTCAAACTATTTTTTTATGTTCACATACGTTTTGAAATGTTAATAAAAGAACAAAAAATTATTATCAGCAACTTAAACATGATGTTATTTCTTTAAAAAAATAACAAATAGAAATAAAAAAAATAAAAAAAACTCAATAAATAGAATCAATAAATAGAAATTAAATGTCAATAAATAGAAAATTTAGGTAAAAAACTCGTTCTTCTCAATATTCGGCAATTGTCAATTGTCGGCATTTCACATCGGCATTTATTCATACATCGTGAATATTTTCCCATCTGCTCGACTAATTTCAAGTTTTCATCAGTCTAGGTTTCTGACCTAAATACGAAAGTTCGTATCCCAATATAAAGCCGACCGCGATCCCGACTTTTCCAGCAAGCTTCATTTTGCTCAGGTTAATTGAATCCTCGAAACGATGCGATTGGCGGGTGACCAAATTTTACTAATTATCGTATCGAGCACCAAAGAATCGATTTAATACAAACTGAAAAGTGTTCATGCAGACGTAGTTTGATTACTGATGAAAACTATTATATAATTTCCGTGTAAGCTGTAAAAAAATATATCGAAATTAAGATGACGGATTAGTTATATGGATGAGTCATTGCGCGCTTGTTCGAGTAAGTCAAAATTAATTTGTCTGCCGATTCCTACTTGCCTTCCTTGACCTAATTGCAAAAAGAGATATTTAGAGAATAAGCGGATAGAGATAATATTCGTACATCATCTCACATGAACGTGTGCAAGATATTATGCTTCACTCTCAGAAGCGAAACGATGAGTGTGATAAATCATCGAGTAATCTAAAGAGGAAACGTTTTTCAAAACAGTCTCGACAAGTTGCAATACGAATTAAAAACAATACTAATAATATCGGTTTTAAACTCGTGCAACGACTATGTGAATGATGCGTAAGAAATTTAAATAAATTTGTGAAGAAATACGAGTATATCTTCTTTTTCCATTTTCGTTAATTTTTGTCTGTACACACACACACCACACACACACACACACATACACATACACACACACACACACACACACGTCATATTTTATTTCTTTTATTATAGTTATACTAGTCAATTAATTTTAATAAACATTAAAGAGTAGATAAAGAGTAATATTAAATATTACGTGTGTATAAATATCAAACATATATGTATACAATATGTGTAAATTATAAAAAGACACACAACATAAAGATTTATGCAAAACAAGAAATATCTGTTTTAAATTTTGTGGCGGTAAAAATCGCATATCACGATCTCTACTATCTTTTGTATATATTTTTCTTTTCTTTTAAATAACCCAAGTTAACCAAGGTTTTCTAATTTCCATATTTATCAAAGACGTCAAAAGTTTTCTGCGTTAACTTGGTTCCAAACTCGGAAACTCGCTCCCTCTGGGCGAACGGAAGCCCCGCCGCTGGAACTGTCTTGTTCTACTGTCATTACGTGAAAATTAAGGAGGATGGATGGTAGCATTATTTCTCCAACCTTCTGTCACCGTTTAATTATAGTCTGACAATAGATTATACGCGATTCCATGTGTGTTAAATCAAGATGATGGTTTCAATGATCAAGTCGTGTGTTATGTCTGAAACATGGTATTTTTATAACATGTTTTACGTTATTTGTTGATATGTAACATGTAGTTTCATTCTCTTATAGTTTAAGAAAAAAAATGCTAATCAAATTATTTTT